TATGAAAATCGAAATTATAAAAAATTTTCAAGTGTTTGTCTGGCTGAATTTGCAGCAAATTATGATGAGAAAAAGATTACATATAGCACTGATAGCGATGACGAATATGATGAAGAGAGTGAGATTAAAGAAAGGAAAAAGCAGAAAGTTATTCGATTTCGAAGATATAAATTAAACCAGGATAGATATAATTATTTTAGAGAACAAGTTTTGCTATTTTGGCCATGGAAAAATGAAAGAGAAGATGTAGATACACAAGATTGTGAAAACATTTATAGTAAAAATATTCATGTAATTGAAGAAAATAGAAATAAATTCTCAGTAATAGGTGACTTAGAACTTGACAATGCCTTGGTTCAGGCACAAAAAGATATAGATCAACAGACTATAGAGGATGAGGAGATGGAATCTTTCGGGAAAACAAAAATTCGAAAAGATGAAGAAATAGATATATTTAGTCAAACGGGTTTAGCGAAATGCTCAAAAAACATTAAAAGGAGTATAAATAGTCCACCCCAAAAAAGCAAAGAGGAAATGATGAGCATAGTTTGTGAATTAAATGATGAGCAAAGGGAAATTACAATGCATGTTTTGCATTGTTTTGCAAATGGGAGTTTACCTATTAGATTGTACATCAGCGGCTCAGCAGGTGTTGGAAAAAGTACAGTTTTAAAAGCGATTTATCAGGTGTTATTGAATTTCTTCGACGATACACCCGGTGAAAAGAAAAATTCGTTAAAAATATTATTATGTGCACCGTCTGGAAAAGCATCATTTCTAATAGGTGGTACTACACTGCACAATGCTTTTGCATTACCAATAACACAATACGGAGGACAAATGCCGGAATTATCAGCAGATGTAGCAAATACAATTCGAGAGAACTTATTCGAATTAAAATTAATAATTATAGATGAAATATCAATGGTAGGTAGTACAATGTTTAGTCGAGTAGATACAAGATTAAGACAAATAATGGGTAATAATAGAAGCTTTGGGGGAGTTTCTGTTATAGTTGTCGGTGATCTTTATCAATTACCACCAGTTATGGATAATTCGATATACCTTTCCTCAAAATCTAGCATGTTAAGCATTTTTTCGGAGAACATTTTATGGAATGAATTTGACTTTTTTGAGTTGACAGAAATAATGAGACAAAAAGAGGATAAACCATTTATTGAGGCTCTTAATAACCTTGCAAGAGGCACAATGTCTGAAAATGATATTGCTCTTATTAAATCCAGAGAAACTACAGAGGAATATGTTCCAAAAGATGCAATTAGATTATATGGTGAAAATCGGATGGTTGATAGTTTTAACAAAATAAAAATTAATTCAATTGATGGTGTAGCCTATGATTCTATAGCCAAAGATTCAATTTTAGGAAAAATAAGTAGTAAGTTGAGAAATAAATTACTTACAGCATTAAAAAATAAAAAAAGAACAGAATGTGGAGGCTTGGATTACAAAATTACGTTAAAAATTGGTATCAATTACATGATAACTTCTAATATAGATGTAGAAGATGGTTTAGTTAACGGAGCCTGTGGCAAATTGCAAAAAATAACTTTAAAACCAGGTACAGATGAACCAATGAAAATATGGTTAGATTTCAATAATGATAGGATTGGTGTTGGACAAAGGAGACCATACATAAGGTATATGACCGAAAATAATTTGGAGATGTGTTTGGTTCCGCTCTCACAAGTCTCTATTGTATTGAACATTAATGAAAGAATGGGATATCAAGTCGTGAGACAACAATTTCCTATCACGCCAGCCGAGGCTTTAACAATTCACAAAAGTCAAGGACAAACATACGAAAAATTGTGTATTGATTTAAGAGACAGTTATCGTATCACAAGGCCAATGCTTTACGTAGCATTGAGTAGAGTAAAAAAATTATCAGAATTATACATTCTTGGTAGTTTTACAGCTCCAAAGAAACCATCAACAAATAATAATTTAGAATTAGAAATTAAACGTCTGAAAGAAGAGAAATTACTTAAATTGTCATATTCAAAAGTAATAAAGGGAAATCGCATAAAAATAATATACCAGAACGTAAGATCATTAAATAAAAATTTTATCAATATATCGAGTGATAAATGGTATAAACAAGCAGATTTATTAATTTTTTCAGAATCACAAACAATTGCAACAGATAATTTAATGTTAGAAGGATTTAATATTCTTTACAGAACAGATGATAATGTTAAACGTTTACCGAAAGGAATTA